TCACAAATAGAAGCTATTCTTTCCATAAGTGGAGCTGCAGAACTGGGAAATCAACAGAAGTGCATCACCACATCCCCGTCAGGTACAAGATGGAGCCTGATTGTCCAACAGTGGATTACTCAGACACTGGACGTTTTACTGCCTCTTACCCCATTTCACTACTTGTTACCATCCTAGGGCAGGAGAAATGCATTGAAAGGGATTTAGTCAGTTAATCCATTGTTCAAAATTTTGATGAAAGATTTGGTTACATTGTGATTGTAAATGCCAGATAAGGGACTTCTAAATATTGGTAGTGTCAGTTGAGACCTGAAAATTCCAGCCATAGCATCCTTCGTGCTAGACGGAAGTGCTGTGGGGCAGGGATGCAAGAGAGCATCCACTGTGAACTACCATCCCACTGATTCAAAATTTTATTCAGAACAATAGGCACGTTTATTTTATAAAATAATATTCTGAAAAAATAAGGTCTATTTTTAGGTTTATATTTCTGTACTAGTAACTGGCATTTTATAAGTGTTAAATTAATATCTGTCAACTTAATACATTGATTAATGAAATTACATAATGTTTATTTGTATTATCTTAAAGTGATTTATAAACTAGTACAGAAAATAACAACTCGTAATTCTGTAAGTACATTCTTCCCTGAGGGGTTGTGCAGAAATTTCCTGAGAAGAAACTGGGAGCTTGGTAGTAGATATTATATGCTGGTGGCAGGCAAGTAGGAACACTACGAATGTAGAATTCACAACCTGTATACGTTTAGGGCAAATAGATACATATGTAAAGAGAAGTATGCTGATCAGAAGGGAGACACAGGCATGATTTGGGATGAGAGAGTTAATTCTTTACAATGTACCTCAATCCATGTTAGAGACTAAAATCAACTGAACTCCACCATCATCCCTCAGAGGAAGAAGTATGAAAAAGAAATTTAAAATTCATGAGTTGTTTTCCCGAAATGTTTATCTTGCTAGGATACAAAGTTATGCAAAATTATGAGACAGTAGCTTTACTAGAGAGTTTCACTAGCTGTTCCAAATGGAAAGACACTCAGAGTCCAGGGAAGACACAGCCTTAGCATTGTGTCCTGAGAAAGTTGGATAGAACACCTTTGCCATCCTGGTAAGGGGAAGTAATGTGTATGTCTAACTAGGGCTTATGGTGTCATATCAGTTTTGGAATTGACAAGAAGAGAGGTCAACAGAAGCAGTAGTATGATAGCACAAAAGGTGCAGTAGCAGCATAAGAAGAACTGAGAAGTGGCAACCTTTAAGGGAAAAGAAATTATTAAATAATGCCTATGAGATAACTGGGATTACTGACACATTGTCTCAAGCTAAGACATTTGAATATATTTGGATCCATTCTGATAAATAATAATGATGGATAAGGTAGGGATGTCTATTTCTCTCTCATGACACCAAATACATGTTGATATTCTGGAAAACAGAGCTATGTAGAGTTGTCGTTCGCTACCTGGGTAGCTGCGGGTTCTAATGTTACTCTGTTGGAGACCTGGTCAGATCTGTTTCTATTGTTATGTTATCAAAATTTCACTGAAGATCTATATCCAGAATGATGGCCAGGGAAACCCTTTGGCTAATTCACATCTCTGGCTTATAATCACAATGAGATTGAGTCTGTCCATCCTAAGTTTTTAGCAACAAAGATATATTTAATTCATTATGCATTTTATCTAGCAATCTAGTATTTGGGGAATACTCCCTTTGTTTGTGTTTATGTGAAACTTAGATGTTGAAAACAACTTAAAAGTATGTAATTTCAGAAATTATTTCTAACAAGAAAATCCTGTTAATTCATAGCCTTTCATGGTAACTATCTTCAAAGATAAAAAATATAAGTACCTTTATGCTGCTAAACATATGAAGGATATAAAGCTGAAAAGGAGTCTGAAAACTTAGCTTGTTTTTGTTTTTGCTTCTAGCTTTTCCTCATTGAACCATCTCAAACAGATGGTGATTTATAATGTTTGGTGACCTCCAGAGAAAGGGATTCCAAAGCTTCTGAAGATTAGCCTGTATGATGTGATCTTTGTGTTTATTATTTTTATAGAACACTAAAAATTTTATTTCATATATTATCCTTCCATTATTCAAAATTTGTCACTATAAATTTATTTTATAGTTTATAAGAAATAATAACTTACTAACATAAAATATAGTCCTACAAATTATATTATTCCTATGTTATATCAGAAAAAAATGAAAGTTGAATGCTTTTCCCATGATCCCATAGAGAGTAAGGGGCAAAGCCAGAATTCCAGTTGAGGCCATCTGATTTTAAATCTGGTGTTCTCCACTATTATAAACTTACTCTGCTTCTCTGTGGACATGAACACAATTTACAGCATGACTTCATTGATTCCTGGATTGGGGGTTATTTTAAATTGGAAGGTAGTAACTTAACCTGCCAAAAATGGAGGTCCCCATGGGCCATTTATTTTAAAAATAAAATCAGAAAATTGAAGTGGCAAAGGTCCTGAAATCTTCTGTAAGAGAGAGATTTTCAAAACAATCTTGGTTTTGTCTTTTACTTAATATATGCTTTCTGCTTCCTTTTTCTGCATGCTTATATAACTTCAGTGACCAACGTCTTTATAGTCCAACATGCTTTTTGTGCTAGGTGAATTGTCCACTAGGTTTAACTTCTTGGCCTTCAGTCATTTTCTTGACTTTATTCTAAATTCCTGGTTTTCCTGGCTATTTTATGACTGTGGAGTCTGAAAAATAGATAAAGTACAAAAAGCAAAAAAAAAAAAAGCTGAGCAGATCAAGTTCTGAATGTCTGGTTTATTGTCAAGATATCTGCAAGTTTAATGCTTTTCATTAGCAGGTTGGCCTCCAAGACCCTATACAGTACTACTAATGATGTTTGAATGAACAACAAACATTTAGTGATTATTTTGAATTAAAAAATATTAAACTACAATGTATTTTTAGTAGTATTAAAGACAATATAAGATAAATTCTGAGTACAAACATATGTACAAGTATACCCACAGAAAAACACTAGGCTCAATGCCAAAAAAAAAAAAAAAAAGAAGCTAAATATTATCCAACAGAAGGTAACAGAAGCACAGACTGAATGGTAGAAAGCAGGTTGTGGGGGGTTAATTTGGTGGAAAGAAAAAATAGATCTTAGATATAACAATCACCCAGCTCTTAGCCTTGTAGCTCAGTTTAAAAGGAGAGTTTGTGGGGTGGCTCTGCTGACTTAATTCTGCCTGAATGAGCGTAGTGGGAGTCAGAGTTAGAGCTTCATACCCAATCAGAGACTCAGCAGCTGTTACAATATTTAAAGCAAGTCCAGGAGAAGATATTCTTACTGGGACACATAGTACAAAATACTCTACAAGGAACGAGCCCTTTTCTCTTTAACATCTGAACCTCCACATGATTAGCACAAATGCCACATTTTCATTTTCTTTGCCAGAAGTAAATGTTCCTAATAAGATCTGTTTTCAATTTAATAGTAAACTTTCAGTCTACTTAACTAAAAGTGGGCTTCTTATATTCTTACATCACTCCAACTGTACTTACAAGTTAATTACAATAATGTAAATTAAAAATGAAAGAATCAAACAATTTTTATGATTAATGAATTGGACACAAATTTCCAGAAATCTCCTATATGTACCAACTATGATAACACCATCTATGTACAAATATATGTATATATATATATTTATACACAGACACACACACACATACAAACACACACACACACGCACATATACACATACATATAGTATAACTATGCTGTTTTTAAATATTTGTTTATAATTACAGTAATGACTTAAAAGTGAGACATGGCTTGAGTGTTAATGACTGGCAGGAAAAATAGATCTGGCCATTAACCCCAAATAAATATGTCTTCATAATTATTTTAAAAATGTCACAAGCATCTATAGAGTGTAACAAAATCTTCTATGTTATCTGGGTCAATGTCTGTTCCTCTCTTGAGTGTTACTATATGTATTAGTTAGGTGAAATAGTTGTCAGAGACGTATTGTGAAACTTCGTAACTAAAATATTTTGGAAATATGATAAATACTAAAGACATACTATAAATGTTCTTCCAAACAATGAATAAAACCATTGTTTTGCCAATGCAAACTGGTGAAATAAATACCAAACTGATAAGCAAATTAATAAATAGGGAAAGAGTTCTTAGAAAATCACTCAGAATAAAGCATCATACATATAAAGTCATAAAAAATATGAAAAGTGAGTCAAGATAAATGTATCATAGGTAAAAACAATGTATAGGTGTAAGAGAAAAAGCAGCAGAAAGAGATATTTGATAAGAAAATTTCTGATAATTTTTTAGAGGTGAACATTGAAAAAGATCAAAGATGAAAGGTGAAAAACAATCTGGAGAGGATAACTAGAAACAAATTCACAAATACTTGTGAAGCTACAGAACACCAAAAATGTCTCAGAGGGAAAAAGTCAGATGGGTTAGGTAGGCAAGACAATTAGAACACTATACTTTTCAACAATAATAAATGCCAGAAGACAATGAAAATACCTTTACTATGTTGGGAGTATTAAAAGTCAACTAAAATTTTAAACCCAGATAAACTAGCCATTCTAAAATAAAGGTAAAATAAATTCATTTCCAAACATTAAAAAATGGATGTTTTACCACTCACAGGTCCTCTTTGAAAGAACCAGTAAGGGAGAGGAAGAAATGGACATGAGTAAAACTTTAACCGGAAAAAAAAAGGAGAGTACAAAAAACACAATGGAACAAAGACACAGATAAACATGCATTTCAGTAAGACTACCAAATATAAAAGGAAAAACGATAACCACCTGTCAGAGTTTTCAAATCAGGTAGAGGTCGCGCACCCTTGCTGGCTGGCGCTCCCTTCCGCGTCCTCCGTGGGTTCTCTCCTGAGTCCGTGGTCTCCTCTTCAGTGACCAGCCCTGCTCTCCCAGGTGATCGTCGGCGGCGGAGTCTGTGGCCAGATGTGCTTGCTCTTCGTCTTCAGCAAAGACCAGTTCCCAGCGGGGTTCGCCCCCAGAGTGTTTCAGAACGACGTGGCCCATATCGAGGTGGACGGGACGCGGGTAGAGCTGACCGTGTGGGACACAGCCCGGCAGGAGGATGATGATGGCCTGAGGCCCCTCTTTGACCCAGACACGGGTGCTTACTGGTGTGTTTCTTCGCTGACAACCCTGAGAGCTGAGAACACATCCCGGAGCCACGGAGTCCAGACGTCAAGCAACTCTGTCCCAGCGTGCTCATCATCCTGGTTGGGAACAAGCAGGATCTTCGGAATGATGTGCACGCAAGGTGGGAGCTAGCCGAGAGGAAGCGGAACGGGTGGGCCCGGGGAGGGCACAGAGATGGCCAGCGGGCCTGGGCTTCGGGGTACGCGCAGTGTTCAGCAGAGGCCGAAGACGGAGAGAGAAGTTTCTGAAGCGGCTGTGAACGCTGCTCTGCAAGCCAGACGTGGGAAAAAGTTCTGGGTGCCTCGTCTTGTAAAACCTTGCTGCAGGCACAGCGCTTAGAACGTCAATTTTGAACTGCTGTGGATCCATCTTAGTGGATGGATACTGGCCTTTTATTTACAATTTACCGAGGATTACAAATTTCAGACACGTCATCTTCTTACAAGTATTTAGAAACCTGCCCTGATTCTTAACGATGTCAAACCCTTCATGCCTACAAGGGTCCTTTTGCCACCGCTCTAACAACCCTCCTCTACCCTCCGGTCTGACACACCAGGGGAAATTCAAGGAACTTTGTGACTTCTTGCTTCTGTCTAGAAACAGTTAGAACTTTGCGAATTAGACTGCAACTGCTTTATAACTAACATTCCCTGCCTATCATCTGTCAGCAGGAAGGTACTCTGCTGAGACACCACTTCAGGGCTTTACTCATTAACAGATTGCATTGACATAGCTCTGACGCAGGCATCTAGTTTTTTGAAAATGGGTTCAACCAGAAAGGCTGAAGTCCATGTAGCTGTGGCACACTTACAGTTCTGTGGTTTCATGTTAACCACCTTAGCATTACTGTGTAATTGGTGCCACTTAATGTATTTTACCGAAATAAATATATTTACACCAGATTGGATGTAGTATTTTTTAATTATTGGATTTCCTAATACTGACATTTGTTATCCCCAAAGATACTGCGTTGCTTCTTACAAAAGAAAGTGTATTTGGAAACATCAAATGGAAAAATCATTTAAAAAAATACTAAAATAAAATAAGGTACAAGAAAAATACTAATGGAAATGTAAGAGTAAACATGGATTTTTCAGTTAATGTACTCTAAAATTCTTATATAGCTAAAAAAATTAGAGATAAAACCTATAAAAGAATAAAAATGAAAAATAAAAATTTTAAAGGTGTAAAAAGAAAAAAATGAGTAATAAAAATGTGATTATTCCAATGAAGATTCGAAAATAAGAAAGTAAGGGAAAAGGGATTATACTCAGTAAAAACAAAAGAAAGTGATAGAAGGAAGTAAAGTATAATAATTACAATAAAGTTGCAAACAGGTTAAAATAAAGTCTCCATAACATGATAACTTGTATAAAGAGATGTTTAAGATGTAACGGTTATGACATAACAAGGTTATCAAAGCCAAATGATGGGCTTGTTTCCTGCTGTCTGAAATGAGCAACTATTACCAACAGTCAGGATATTTAGCATCATCAAACTTGGCCAGGATAAGGAATAATTTCATAGCAGTTGGTACTTTTTAAAGGGAGTTTATATTGGGGGAAATTCTTCAAGCCTAGGCTAGACAAATGTTAAGTAAAAGGTGTGAGTTTTATATGTTGGTCTTTTTAATACTAAGATCCTATCATGCCAGGGTTTTTCAGGTGTACAAAATAAAAAACTTCTGAATGTAGAATATTTTTTTTTCACTTTGAAGCATAATCAAGAAAAACATTTTAAGGATTTATTCTACTCATCACGGTATCCTACAGCCTTAGCACAGTGTGTGACACTTAACATAACTTCAATAAATAGTTCTTGAATTGAAATGAAAATTCTGGCAGATTAAATATTGTTTTAGGAAAATAATAGAAAACTAAGGAGGATAAAAGTACAGACTATGATAGTAGAAATAAACACAAAGTTATTAAACTTTATAAAACCCCATGCCATAGGAAATATAAAATGTGTCTAGAAAATCATGAGTATTTTTCAAAATATACAAGAAAAAGAATAATTTTATCTGATGCATTTGGGTATGACCAACTATTATAAAATGTAATTCTAAACTGATAGCATTGTGTCTAGACAAGTATTAGCCTTTTTAAAATAAGGAATTATTAAAAGTAATATTTTCCATTTAAAGAAATACATATTTTATAAGCAAACTACACTCAGATTAGCAAACCTCTATCCAGAGGGTGGACTGGGACTTTGGTTTTATTCTTCCATCCAGACAGAACCAAATACCTTCATTAAGAGGGGATTCACCATAACTACATTTATTGCAATAAATGTTCTTCCTGGCAGGACTTGGCTATGTGACAAGGAGTTTCCTCCATATATATCTTACAAAGTCAGTTTCTAAGAGTTATAAATTACTTTTGAGTTTTGCTAAAATAAAGTAGTGCAATATTTGCCAGACATGACTTTATTTCATCTAGCCCACAGGAGCAGAGGAGATGCATTTAAGGTTTTATTTCAACATACTAGAATTAATTGCTGTTTCTTTGAATACATAGGGGATTCCCTCTCACAAACACATACCATTCCCTATTTAGTGGTCAGAGAAAAGAAGATGGTTTCATATACCGGTTCCTGTGAAAGTATAATGATTTCTATTTATCTATTTTATAGAAAACATGAAAGAGATATAGACTTGACTTTAGTTTTAAGCTGCTACAATTCTACTGGGATCATTAAGTTCTTACTTGATCCTTCAGATCTGAGGTGCACCAACTCTAACAGGTTTTAGAAGTTTATTTATAAACTGTGCCTTCCCTAGAAAGTATTTATCGGGCTCTTTTGTATTACAGTGTTTTACAGACATGTCTGATCAAAAGAATCATCTGGGGAGCTTGCAAAAAATCCAACTTGCAGAAGTGTCCCCTAGAGATTACGATTTGGTAGTTCAGGGAGACCTAGGAATCTGTTTTTAAGTCTCCCCAAGTGACTTCTAAAATCAGACAAGGTTGAGAAACACTGACTCACTACATGCTGCTCCTTCAGCACTTCCTCTGTACACCATATGGTATTCTGCACCCCTAACGGAGGTACACACTCTGAACGATGAGCTCATACCAGGAAGATAAACCCCAGAGCACTGTGACCCTTGCCCAGAAATTCAGAAGAGATCAATGGCAGGATTTGTTTTGGCTGCGTTTAGACAAAATTTATCCAATAATGGTATTAAAAACATCTGGGTTTTTTTGAAGCAAATGTGGATGTAATAAAATGAGTGCTTTATTGCAGATGAAAAACTTTGTGGAGATGTAAGAAATGGAACTTGTAACTAAAAGAATAACTCTTAAAGCCATAGTCAAACTCTTGTGATTTAAGGCAGCCAGCTCAGGAAGAGGAGCACCAGTCTCAGGCCCTTTGCTATGAAGTTTCATAGAGAATACAGGTCACTTTTCCTTGCTTTTATATTACTTTTGGATTATATCTTACTTACTCAATAATATAAACTTTTATACAGTACATGCTTTCAATGAATGGCTGTTAAACAAAAGATGGGTGTGAAATAGATGTTTTGGGAGATAAAATAAAACAAATAGTTGGCATTAAACATATTTTTAATTTACCGATTGATTTGAATTAAGCTCTTGCTGAGTTTGCAAACACAAAGAGATTTTTTTTAAGAAGCAAATATACTTTAAATCTTTCTCATATGATTTTCATATTCTTAATGTATAAAATCAGACTCTGAAAGATTATAATGCATATACTTAAATGATGGCTTGTTAAATCAGCCTGCATCTACCTGAGATGAAAAGAAGGTTATGAGATAGAAATAATGGATTGAGTTTTGCTATAAATAGCAGAGATAATAGCTCCTCTAGTTAAGAATACAGAATTTTTCTTGTGAAAGAAATGTTTTTAGGGTAGAAAAATATTTATTGAGCTTATGTCTTTCTTAGATCAATTTATGTCTTCCATGCAGTTTTGAAAACTTTTTCTCTTTTTCTTTAAAATAAATTTCTTTCCAAGAAAGTCTCTTATTTACCTCAGGGAAAGAAAATCAATACCGTTACAGAGAAAAAGAGAGATTCTTATTTTCCATTTAGTTCCTTGAAATTACAGACATTATAATTTACATAAATCCATTACATACTACTTTTCATAATAGAAATCATGATCAAATTGATACATTTTATAACCTCGAACTGAGAAAATTGATAGATATGTAGTTGGTTTTTTAATTGATATCCCACCACAAAAGTAATTAATTACAGAATGTGGCATATTTTTTTTGCAAAATATTAGAATTCCAAAAAAAATTAGAGAAACACATTATTTCATCTCTATATACAAAATTAATGTTTCAGTGTTAGGAATTGTGCAGATTTCATAATTTTTGCTTACGAACATTATAATAACACTGATAAAATACCATTATGTTAAATCAAATGACTCTGTTAAGTGAGAGACAGATAGAGAAGATAATTGTAGGAAGACAGACAACAATGACTAGGACATAAAGGCATAGAAGAAAATATACATAGTAATGCCTGTGAAAAGCTAAACGGGCTCATAGCTGTCCAATCCCAACATACTAAATTTAGGTTCTATATCTTTAAGCTAGAAAAAAACCTGAGGGCATAGAATTTAAAAATTAGGAAAGGCACAGGAATAATATAAAGAAAAATTCAAATAGTTCTATTCAGCTAAGTTGTAAATGAATGTAACTCAATGCCTCCAGGAAGTGGTATAGTTTAGAAATACAGTGTAAGGATATTCGAAAAAACGTTGAGTTCATAATGGGTCCTTGCTGCAATTAATACACCTGAGATACATTTGGAATGAGCACTGACAAGCTGGCCCCACTACTGACTGTTAGCTGTCACTGTCATACTGGGTGGATTGAGGGACTGGCCTCTTATGATGCTCTTCATCTTGTTCCTGCTCATTTATTCTTTCTTCATGTAGCAAAAACAGATTAAGCCTTGCTGATCATACTTAAACAATTAACATGCAATGTTCATGCTAACCAAAAATCTCAGGGAAAGAGTGAACAGTTTATAATCTACGTACAATTTTTTGGATTTTTGTGAAAACTTTTAAATAGCAAAACTAGGGAAACTGTGTTTGCTGCTTCTTAGTGCCTTAAGTCGCTGGTGGTTGGCCTGCTCAGGCTAGAATAGAAAATAAATGAAGCTACACATGGAAGTTGTGTTTTCAGAAGGTACAGCAGTTATCTCAAGCTTTTGGTTAGTGTGGTACACTGAAAAAGAAAGATAGGAAATTACCTGGCCACTTGGGTGCCTTTTTCCTGTGCTTGTCTGAAGGTATGCTTTGCTTTGATAATAGACACTCATAAATACAAGTCATTGAAATGGTGGGAAGGGGAATACTGTGGCTCCACATGCTTTGAGAGGCTTTGAAATTCAATGTAGTGTCTTTATTTTGGAGAGTGCCTGAAGATCAAGGGCAATCAATCCTGATGCTTTCAAATTTATAGACATTTTGGCTGGAAGAGGGAATGGAAAAGATTTCACCTTCTGGAATATTTCTTGTCTGCTCTTTCTCTCTTCTACTTCATCTTTGGATCCTCATCCTAGTGGAATAGCAGAGAGGCTGTGTGCAGATAGATATCAGCTGCTGACTCTAATTACAGCTACTAAATAACAGAAATTCCAAACAAA